CATAAAAATTAATTCTCCCTTCCACTCGTTTCCCAACCTCTAGTTCTCCTTTTCCCAGGCAACCACTGATAGTTTCTTCTGTCTTTCTGAAAATAATCTATGCATATACAAATTGTAGCTGACTTTACTGTTCTGCATCTTGCCTATTTCATTAAATAATATTTTGGAGATTGTTCCAGATCAGTTCATATAGAAACACCTCATTATTATTTAAAAAAATTAAATTTATTAATTTTATTTATTTATATTTGGCTGCGTTGGGTCTTTGTTGCTGTGCGCAGGCTTTCTCTAGTTGCAGTGAGTGGGGGCTACTCTTTGTTGCGGTGCGGTGGCTTCTCTTGTTGCGGTGTGCAGGCTTCAGCAGTTGTGGCTCACAGGCTCCAGAGAGCAGGCTCAGTAGTTGTGGTGCACGGGCTTTGTTGCTCCGCAGCATGGGAGATCTTCCCGGGCCAGGGCTCGAACCCGTGTCCCCTGCATTGGCAGGCAGATTCTTAACCAGTGCGCCACCAGGGAAGCCCCTGCCTCATTATTTTTACAGTTGTATACAGTCACATAATTCAGTTATGACCCGTGTGTATGTATGTGTGTGCTCACCTGTGTAAGTAATTGTTTTATTGAATTTCCCTTCAAAGCCTTATATATATCTTACTTTGCTTTCCTGGAGAATGTGTCTTGTTCCCCCTGAGTCCCCGCTGTCCTCCACTGCCTTTCACTTTCTGTCTCCTTTCTCCTAAGGTTCCTGGCCTTGATGTGTGTGTGCGTGTGTGTGTGTGTGTGTGTGTGTGCACCTTTTTGAAGTGGTCTTTGAAGGTAGTTGGGGAAGAGGAGGAGAGAGAGGCAGCATGCCAATAGCTGTGGCAGGACAGGATGTTTGAGGCTTTGTTGGCTCTGTCTGATATGGAGACGAGCATCCAGGCCTCCTCCTTCAGAATTTGGGGATGGTAAGTAACTTGTTCTAGGACTCTGTGCAACTCTTTTCATCTTTAAGGGCTTAGATTTCTCCCTGTGTAAGATGAGTAGGCTATACAATGTAATTTCTAAGTCTCCAAGCTCCAAGCTCTAAAATTCTAAGAAAATAAGCTCTCAAGTATTCTGCTGGTGGGAGTGTAAAGGGTACATCCCAGAGAGAGGGCAATTTGGCAATATCCTTCAAAATTACAAATACCTATACCTATTGACCAAATAGTTCTACTTCTAAGGATTTATTCTGTGGTTACACTTGCATATGCACAAAATGATATAAATTCAAGGTTGTTCATTGCAGCATTGTTTGTATATCAAAAAATTGGAAATAGTCTAAAAATATTCATCAATAAGGGACCAGATAAATATAGTATTGATATATCCTTACAATGGAACATTATATAGCCTGAAAATAAATGCAGATACAATGAAATACTGTATCACGATGAGAATGAGCAAAATACAGTTATATGCAGTAGTGTATGAATATCAAAACAATGTAGAGGAAATGTAGGGCAAAAGAAGCCAAACTCAAAAAGAGCACACACTGTATGAATCTGTTTAATTAAAGTTCAAAAACAGGAAGAAGGAATCTCTAGTGATAGAGATTGTGGTAACCCCTGGGGGTAGGGCAGTGACTGAAAGGGATCACAAGTGGGTTCTGAGATATTTGTCATGTTCTCTATTGATTTGAGAAGCAATTACACAGGTGTGTTCCGTTTGTGAAAATTTATGACGTGGGCAGTTTTTTCTATTCTGTATAGCAGTAACAATGTAAAAGAATAGATAAACTCTATAAGCACTGATATCAAACAACCTGATAGATATTATGTGGAAAGAAAACCAAGCATGAATCAAACACTTCCATATGTGTTAAAAATGGAGAAATAGGGCCTCCCTGGTGGCGCAGTGGTTGAGAGTCCGCCTGCCGATGCAGGGGACACGGGTTCGTGCCCCGGTCCGGGAAGATCCCACGTGCCGCGGAGCGGCTGGGCCCGTGAGCCATGGCCGCTGAGCCTGTGCGTCCGGAGCCTGTGCTCCGCAACCGGAGAGGCCACAACAGTGAGAGGCCCGCGTATCGCAAAAAAAAAAAAAAAGGAGAAATATACCTGTACTTGCTTATAAATGTATACAATACGGCTGGAAAGATACTCAAGAAGCTGACAACTTTGGTCGTGAAGAGCGAGTAATAGCTGAGAGAGAGGCTTTTACTGAACGTTCAGTTGTATATTTTGGATTTCAAATCATGCATATTTACTACTTATAAAATGAAGAGGAAGCACTCAAATTCTAAAAAGGAAAAATAAAAAATGTTTCTGAGCCTAGGAAATTCTCAGAAATAAGGAAGTACTCATAAGTAAGAAGAAGGAAAAAAGGGGGAAAACACCCCCTAAAAAACACCAAAAGATTATGTATTGAATGTATAACTCAGAACTCAGTAGTGGGGAAGTAGAGAACATTTGAATCTTCTAAAATTGAACAGATAGAACCTTTTCTTTATGTTCACCACTTTAATCATGATTTAAAAACTAGTCACAAGTATTTATTTTCTTTAAAGCTGTATTTATTAAATGCATAAGATAATACATACAATTTTTTTCACATCTTTATTGGAGTATAATTGCTTTACAATGTTGTGTTACTTTCTGCTGTACAACAAAGTGAATCAGCTATATGTATACATATATCCTGATATCTCCCAAACAATGGTTTTAACAGTAAGATATCAAATATCTATAAAGACATTTCAGCCCTCTGAGCTATCCAATGTGATCAGCCTAGTATAAATTCTTAAATCCCTTTCTCTATGCCCCCATGGATATATCTATAAATGGTCAGCAATATACTAACAGGATCACACCACTCTTTATCCCTCTTCAGTTTGCATTTTCCACTTTAGCAATATATCAAGGACATCCCTCTAGGTCAATACAGATAGGTCTAACTAATTTTCATCATTGATCAGTGTATAATATTGCAGAGTATGGAGGGAGTACAATTGGTTCATATATTCCATTACCTATGGACAATCACATTGTTCCTAGTTTGTTTGTGTTTGTTTTGCACTTCACATAACACAATAAGCATCTGTGTTAGTTTCCTGTGGCAACCACAAACTGAGTGGCTTAAAATAACAGAAATTGATTCTTTCCCGGATTTGGAGTTCCAAGTCTGAAATCAATGTGTTAGCAGGCTCTGCAAACCTGTTCTGTGGCCCCCTCCTAGCTTCTGGTAGCTGCCAGCAATCCTCGGCATTCTTTAGCTTGTACATGCATCATTCCTAACTGCCTCATTCTTCACATCCCCTTTATCTCTGTGTCTCTATCTCAAATCTTTCTCTGCCTTTCTCTTGTAAGGATGCCTGTCATTGGATTTAGGGCCCACCCGAAATCTAGGATGATCTCATTTCAAGATCCTTAACTTAATTACATCTGTAAAGATACTTTTCCCAAATAAGGCTATGCTCACAGGTTCCAGGTGGGCTTCTTTTGGAGGGCCAACATTCAACCCACCGCAGCATCCTTGGATCCATCCTTACAATTAGTATTTTCTTTAGTTTTTCTATAGGGCAGAGTTAATGCATTTTTGGGTCAATGGATAGGTATATGTATTTTAAATTTAAATAGGTATTCTCAGATTACTCCTAGAAAGTTTGTGGCATTTACACTCCCATCAGAGCTTGTTTCCTATGTATCGATTGGTCTTGTTAATGTTTGCCAGTCTAATGAGTGAAAAATGGATTACTGTTTTAGTTTGCTTTCTCAATAGAGGCTCTTTTATGTTAGAGATATGTGTTTGCCATATGTTTTGTGCAGTTCTATTCCGTCTATTGTTTTTTGTTTTAACTTGTCTTAGTGTGATGTTATGCAAAACTTTCAAAATATTTAGGTAGAAAATTCTTTTTCTTTGATGATTCTGAGCTTCCTGTCTTGCTTAAAGTTTCCCCTCGCTAAAGTTATATTACTATTCTTTAAAAAATTTCCTCTAAGTCTTTGTTTTGTACATTTTTAAGTCTAACTCTTCTGGAACATATTTTTGAATATGGTATGGCTCTAGATTTATTATGAATAGTCAATTAAATCAGGATCCTTGATCAAATAAACTATTCTTTTATCACAGGCTTGTTTGCCACCTGTGCTTTATATTAGGTTTACTTGAGATTCCATCCCAGACTACTCAACTATTTGCCTGAGCTATTACAGTAGCAATAAGTTACAATAACCTTACAATATAGTAGCTTTACAATAAGTTAAATTTTTGGTTTTCAGTAAGTGAAATTGAAGTGTGCCATTAAGAAAGAGGACCATGAGATTTCCCGGTTGAGGTCAAAAGATAACAGGAGATAAGGTATGCGAACAGGGCTGGGTAAACTGTAAGCCTCTGCAGATAAATGTTAATTATCGCAAAAATGAACACACAGAAAAAGAATCTTGGGCTTGGAACGCTGGACTTTTGCTTTATAACCAGTGCAGGGATTGAAGGGCCAGCTGTGGGTAAGCCGACCTAGCGGCCCCACCCCCAGAAGAGGAGTGACACAGGGGGAGAGGGAAAAGCAAAGTGTAGGGCCCAGGAACCGAGATATCAGTTCAGAGTCGCAGAACTGGGGAGAGTGGCTGTGAAGAGAAGGCCGGCAAGGAAACTAGGAACAGAGAAATCTCTCGGAGGCGGCTACGAAGGCCGGGGCAGGTGGTGGGTCTCTCCTGAAAGCGGCTTGCTGGGGATTCCCGATGCCGAGTCCTCCGGGAGCCTCAAGGAGGAGCTGCCGCACAGCAGCGCCGCTGCTGGGCGGACAGCCGGAGAAATCTAGGCGGCGGTTCAGCCTCCCAGCAGGCATCAACCCGAGAGGACTAGGCGGCGGTTCCCCTCCCAGCCGCGACCAACTCTGCCCCGCCCAGCCCGCAGACCTGGTATTGGCCGGAGCGGCTCGCGGGGCGGGGCGAGGGCTGCTGGGAGGCGGGCTCTTGAGGCGGGCGCGCGCGCGCGCGCGCGCGCTCCATCGGCGGCGCGCGCGTGCTCCGTTGGTCGGTGCGGCGGCGGCGGCGGCGGCGGAGCTGGCCATGGCCGTGGGCGACGGGCTGGTGTAGCGCCGCGCGGGGCAGGCGGGTGGCGACTGAGAGAGACGGGCATGGGAGCGCCGCAGCTGGACGGTCGCGGTGGCCTGGGCTGCTAACTGCGCACCTGGAGCCGAGAGCCGGCGGCAGCGGCGGCGGCGGCGGCGGCGGAGCGCCGGGCAGGTGAGTGCAGTGGAGCGGGACCCGGATGCGGCGAGGCTGAGGGGCGGCGCGGTCGCGGCGGGCCTCTGAGGTGCCCCCGCGCGGGCCGGCGGCGCGCTCTTGCCCGCCACAGCCTGCGGCGCCGGCGACTGAGTGGCCGCTCCGCGCTTCCTGCCGACGCGGAGGACGCCGGCCCGCGGGGGTGCCTCGCTAGCCTGCGGCCCTCCCGGGGCTCTCCAAGGTGAGCGGCTCTCCCCGGCCTCCGGGCGGCAGGGACGCGGCCCTTTGGGTTGCGTTCCAGAGGGGCGTCTGGGGAGAGGCGGCGTCCTCGCCCCTTGTGTCAGTGCGGACACCCGCGAGCTCCTGATCCTCAGATGCCTTTTTGCGCAGGGTGTATTTTAGGGGCGGGGATCCTGTTGGGATAGGGTCGTGTTTTCAAATCCCGGCGCCGCCACTGAGCAGCCCTGGGGCCTTGAGCCAGAGTATCCGGATTTGTTAGTGGGAATAATTATACGTACTTCACAGGGTTGTCGTGAAGCTAGGACAGGATGATGTACATAACCGAAAAACGAGTGGTTGGTCAGTGGTAGGCTGTTAAGAGTAACTCTGCTGCAGCATCTTCCCTTGTTAGCTATTGCTGATTCTTGGCTGCGGGTGTACTTTTGGGGGGCATTTATTTCCGAAGCGCTTTGATGTTGCAGTAACCTCCACTGGAGTTGTTTAATACAGGAGCCTGTTATCTTAACAGTGGCCAAAATACAAATCCTATAGCCTCATCCTAGAATGCTGGAGTCTCTTTTTTTTTTTCTAAGGCTGCCTTGGAATACCTGTCTCAGGTACCGAGTGGGAATTGCTGTTTAAATAAAACAGCGAGTTTTAGGATTCGCTTCAGATACAAGGTGGTGGGGACATATCAAACTTGAAGTGCTTTGCTGTTTAAATAATCTTAAGTGACACTTAAACTATCACTTGTTACAGAGTATAAACAGAGAAGAATATGGAAACAGACTCCTTTTTTTGCATTGCTACATACGAAGGGAGTGACAAGTGCTTTTGTAAACATCATCGTGGGCAGTGTTATTTCTGGTGAAGTCATCATAGTTAAATTAGATGAGTACTTATTTTGAAGCACTGAATGGGTGTTTGGAAATATGATTCCTAATAAAATCATCTCCAACGAGTCAGAATTCTCAGCATTTCATTAATCATTTGGGGATTTTTAGGTTACACTGTAAGATTTTTATGGTAAAAGCAGAACTGCTTAAGTCATGATAAAGTAGCATAGGAAAGGGTGGTCAGGATAAAGATCTTAACCTAGTTCCAGAGGCAAGTGTGGAACAAAGTAAAAATCTTTAGCTTTAAAACTGGGATTGTATTCACTAAAGCAAAAATGACTGAAATCAAAAAACTTTTTTGTACAACCCCTGATTCACATCCTAATGAGGGTTTTCTACCTTCAGAGTGGTTTTTTTTTTTTTTAAATTTAATTTATTTATTTTTGGCTGCGTTGGGTCTTCGTTGCTGTGTGCGGGCTTCTCATTGTGGTGGCTTCTCTTGTTGTGGAGCACAGGCTCTAGGTGCGTGGGCTTCAGCAGTTGTGGCTGATGGGCTCAGTAGTTGTGGCTCTCGGGCTCTGGAGTGCAGGCTCAGTAGTTGTGGCCCACGGGCTTAGTTGCTCCGCAGCATGTGGGATCTTCCCGGACCAGGGCTCGAACCCATGTTGCCTGCATTGGCAGGCGGATTCTTAACCACTGCACCACCGGGGAAGACCCACAGTGTTTTTTAGAAGTGGAGAAAATCGAGTTGGGTTTTGATTTATTGCCTTTTTTCACCTCTTGTTTGTATTTCTTGCTTTTCTTAGAGACTCATCCATAAAGGCTTTTGATCCAACTTGCTTTGTGAATGTAAACAAAATACATAGAAAAAAATTAAAAATTAACCTTGTAATCTAAATTATCTTCTTCCTTGTAGTCTCATTGTGTTCTTCCTAGATTATAACCTTTCCTGTTGTCTCACTGGTGAACCCAACAGTAGAAGCGCTGCTAGCCACTGTGAAAAGGCTAGGGGGTCAGAAGTCACACCTTGGCTCTTAGGCGTGGTCCTGGGTCCCAGGTAGCTGAGACTTTGGGGATGTCACCCAGTCTTTCTGGGCCTCAGTTTTTTTTTTTTTTTTTTTTTTTTATAGAATTTGAGAGTGTGTGGCCAGCAGGATGGGAGGGTGGTGGTGGATTAGAGTATCATATTATATAAAGGAATCTTCCAGGATACTCCACTTTTATGGTTTTCCTTCTCTTCACTCTGTTTCTCTATCTCTTTTGTTGACTCTTCCTTCTCTTCTTGAATTCAAAACATCCTAATGCCTCAGGGTGTCCAAGTCCGTCCCTCTACTTTTTTCTACCTGTATTCTCTCTGAGTGATCTCATCAAGTCCTGTGGTTTAAATACTGTCACTGTGCTGTTGACTCTCAGATTTTTATCTCCAGTTCTGAACTTCACATTTCTTCTACCTGCCTACATATCTTCACTTCATTTGTCTATCTTAAACTTGACATGTTCAAAGTGGAGCTCTTGATTTCCATTCTTCAACCTGTTCCTTCCCCAGCAGTCTGCATTTCATAAGAGCACCCCTCTACCCCCCTGTTCCACCTACTTAAGTGAAAAATCTGGTGGTCATCCTTAATTCAACGCTTTGCCTCACTGCTCCCCCACTGCCCCACACAACCAGTCCTTCAGCAAACCCTGTTGATTTTGCCTCCAAAATGTATCCCGAATATATTTACTTCACTTTATTTTTTATTTTTTAAAAATATTTATTTACTTTTTGGCTGTATCGGGTCTTAGTTGTGGCACATGGGCTCAGTAGCTGCAGAGTGTGGGCTTAGCTGCCCCGTGGCATGTGGGATCTTAGTTCCCCTGACCACGGATTGAACCGGCGTCCCCTGCATTGCAAGATGGATTCTTAACCACTGGACCACCAGGGAAGTCCCTACTTCACTTTATTTTTTATTGTCACCACCCCAGTTGTTCCTAGGTAGTAGCTTCCTAACTAGTCTCCTTGCCTCTGGCCTTGCTCTCCTACAGTCCATTTTCAGACAGCAGTCAGAGTGATCTTTACTTACTCTCCTGCTCCAGGGGCTTCTTATTGCACTAAAAAGTAAGTCCAAACTCTACCTGCATTATCAGCTAATTATCTTGCTTATTTTCTTGTTTGTTTATGGTCTTTTCCCTCCAACATATTATAAACTCTCTGATGGAAGGGACTTGGTCTTCCCTGGGGTATTCTCAGTAACCAGAACAGTGTCTGGAAAATTTAACTAATGTTGAATGAATGAATGTGTGAATGAAATACATTATAAAATCTTCCGATTCCAAGTATAACATGTACTGAACACACTTGACCCTTTTTTGGTCCCAGATTTGTGCAAATGAGGAAGTGATCACAGGGCCTAGAGTTATTCTATTAGGTATCCTTACTTTCTCAGTCTTCATTAAGGTACCTCCTGAAAAGGCTAAGCATTTAGACGTCAAGTCGTTAATAACAAAAACAAATGTGGATTTTGTTCATTGTATACTGGAGCATTAGCATTTTTGTGAATAAGAAACCATACAAGTTTTCCAGCCTTGTTTTGTTCTTTAGAAGCGTTGAATTTTGGTCTTGACTGGAGGGGACTGGTTCTATAGAATGTGGTAGTTTAATCCAGTATTGCATACCAAATCCTATAGGGTAGCAGTTGCAATTTTTACAGAGAACAGATGTGTTTATTTATTTCAATTACGCTATTTTTTAAAAATCTGAGCCCCCCCCTTGTGTGCATTTATGTAAATATCCTCAGAACCATTTGATTCAGTTATCATATCTTACCATATCTTGGAGAGATAAGTCCCTATCATTTGGCTTCTGCTAACTGCTCACTTGCAAGCCTTGCCATGTTGTAGAAAGAGGCAAATAATTTAGGATTTTCCCCCTGCCTGAGACTGAAGCCCCAAAGACTATCTAGTAGGTTTGTGAAGAAAGAAGAGTATGGAAAAATCAAGGTGTAGAATTCCATTGTCAGAGTAGATAATAGTAAAAAGATACGTTGGAGAAGGAAATCCTAGACTATAAGAACAATACTGGAAATTTAGTAGAAGAGAAGAAAAAAAGGAAGATAAAGGAGAATATTATAGATTTTCAGGCTTGTGTGGGGCAACTTTGCTTCTCACTCCTTTTACCTTCTCATCTCCCTCTCCAAATTTTGACACTTTTTTTTTCCCTCTGCCTTCTCTCCACTGCCTGATTTGTATGGGCTATTTTTCTAAGGAGTGCCTATGTGCTTTTGGTAGTTTGAGGTCTGCTGGGACACCTTGTGTGAAAGGATACTATCCTTTCTTGAAGAGGCCTTTCTGCTTTCTCATAATCAAAGTCTGACTTCCTGTATTTTCCAGCCACTGGGTCCAGCTTTACCCTTTGGAGTGATTCTAAACTGGTGTACTTCCTTTTTAAGTTGTTCTCTCATATATTCCATGGTAACCTTTATGTTATCATCTCCAGGTTAAATAATCCTGAGTCACAAGCTTCCAGTTGAGAGAGGAAAAATGAAAGGTATTAGATGTATGGTTGGGTGTGTATAGTGTCTTACCTACCGGTTGCTCTGATAATGCAGATTGCGTATCTCTAATTTAGACCTTTCTTTTTCTGAGTTGTTAGTTTTTGTTTTTTTTTTAATAAAAAAGACATTTCTAAAAGGAGAGTGACATTGAATTTTAAAATTTTACAAAAACTTTTTCATGTACAGTCCTATGAGTTTTAACACATGCCTAGATTCTTGTAACTATCACCAACATTAACAATGTACAGAATAATTCCAACACCCCAAAGAATTCCCTCATGTTACCCCTTTGTGGTCAGCCTCCCCTTCATTTTTAACACTTGGAATTATTTTTTTATTTTATTTTTTGGCCACCATGCGGCTTGTAGGGTCTTAGTTCCCTGACCAAGGGTTGAACCCAGGCCCTTGGCAGTGAAAGCGCAGAGTCCTAACC